TGAGGGCTAACCAACTTCCCATCTCATTTAGCACATCAGACAGAACCGATGCCGATGAGCAGACTCCGAAGGGATAAGAAAATGGCTGGGGAAGTTCGGCCTGAAGAGGGGGAGGGGAAGATTCAGCACTTTCACTAGTTCTCATCGTTACAACAGCTGATAGTGTCTACAAATTTCAACTAGTAGCACTTCATGGCTTCACAATATTTCACCAACCTCTCTACTTGATGGCTCGACACGATAACAAGTGCAACGAATGTGCAACATGCCACCTCTCCCCCTCCCCTCCACCTTAGCCGGAACTGCGCCTCACAATTCCTTTTGGAGTAGTAGCAAAGCCGATCATGGACGAATAATTGACCGATCTACAGCAAAACTCAGAAAGACCTAGTGGGTGCAAGCGTGCCCAGAACGTCTCGCAGCGAGCAACCTCAGTTCACTGGATATCGCACTGAACGTAGAAGATACGTAACGAACAGCAGGTTAAAGGGCGCCTCCAGCGGCCACTGGAACCTGTCCGTTCATGACTGCCCTCCGACGGCCTGCAAAGAGGAGTAGGATGTTTAAACAATTGGTTCCAAGCCTTTGACGGGGAAACAGGATTTGAATTATCCAATTCGGTTGGGAGTTCCACTTTTGCCTTCGCGAAAAAGGCGGCTTTACAAGAATCGTCTAACGAGTGCAGCACTCTCAGCAGGACCTGATTGCAAAAACAGGCCAGATGGTAAGCGCCACTGCAACGTGGATCTCCCAACCGACATCAGTCCCCACTGCAACCGCAACACGCACACAGTAATATTTTGAGGCAAAAAATGTACTCAAAAGAAGAGTAACGAGAAGGGTGGGCGTAGGTGGGAGCGGATACACTATGACTGGTGTTCGTCAGCAGATGGAAGTTGGGCCAGGGGAGGGGGGGGGTGTAGAATCAGCCGTCAGCGACTCCGAGGCCACTTTCCCTGAGTGTGACATCCCTCGGTGGTGACTCTGTTCGTGTGCGCTCTAGTAGTAAGCCCAACCTTTCTTGGGGGGGGGGGGGGGTGGAGGGGATATACAATGGGAGGTCGAGTGGTCCCGCCATCTACTTACAGGCCCTTATTCTCTCGAGCTAAGTCAGTCTCGCCAAACAAAGCCGTAAGTAGAATAGAAATGACCAGGAGATCCTGAGGTTTCTATTTAGGGATTTAAAAATCATCGGATTCTTGTCAAATGGGTAAGAAATCAATAAAGTATAGAAAGTCTGCTACTCACCCACGGGACAATCGGGATGATCAACACTTGGATGCATTCTATTGTGATATATCTCCAAAAATACTTCATCGGCGTATCTCAAATGGCGCAACTCTAGGAGTACATCGACGTCCTCGCCAACATTCAACCAGAAAACGGTTTTTGTTGGGGAGCATTCGTCATCCTCTATTTGAGCCTTAAGAAACAAGCTTAATTAGCTTCATGGAACCTCTAAAGCAATTCAAAACTTACCTTCAATTCAACAAGTTCGCTAATCAGCGACTCGCCTACATTCGCGGCGTGCGTGGCTAACAATTTAACTAGTGTCATATTGTTAAAAGCAATTAGTTGCTACATCAGATGAGGAAATAATGTTAATATGCTCCATTATACTTGGAGAATAGCGTAGCCAATGTCAGAGCATATGATGAAGCCGCAAAAGCAGCCGTGGACTATGTGGTGCCGTAGACTATGTGGTCTTGGATGCAATTCCTCGTAGAGTGCACAGCTTACGTACCTATCGATTTTCTTGTGAATTTTGGAGAGTTCAACTTTTATTTTCAATTATTTGTCTACAAGGGTTTCTGTGTAATGTTACGGCAACCGCTTCTTGCAAGATTTATGAATTGTGATGTTTTCCTTTTCAGTCAGTCATATGGTGAAGCAACGGAAGTCTAAGGGTTCAGATACCCTGCAAAGTCCCACTGAAGTCGCTGCTCCAGATTTAACGATTAGTCCGATGAAAAAAGCCAAAACGAATGGATTATTAGAAGAGGTGAGGGCGGGTGAGGCACCGTGCTTATTTCACGCATTTCTCATTTTTTATAGGTTTTTCAAAATTAGGTAAAAGTTCTCCGATACAGGAGAGGATCCTTGTTCCACAAGTCTCTGCCATTCCCAAGCAGTTGACGTAATTGTTCAGCAAGTGAAGGAGGTAAACTGTACAAATAGAACTGGAGATCACTTGTGGATCAGCACATTCGTGCAGATTAGAAACAAGAAATTTTTCGGAGAACCACTCTAAAAATGGCTCGTTTCGCGGCTCCCCTAAATTGATCCTACTCCACAAGAGCGCTAGTTAGAGGCAGAAAAACACACTTTCTGCTACGAACTAGCGCTCTTGTGTGGCAGCAGACGTTCCCGCTTAAACAGTGGAACCATTGGCCTTTGAAGGCGACGATTTGATCGAAACGTCAGGCCATTTACTATATGTGTTCCACCTAACAACCTCGTAATTCACAAATCAGTCTAAACACTTGCCAGCTAACATGCTGAGCTGCAAGAAGTGAGAAGCTGGAGAGTCAAAATGTTGGGTTTTCCGCAGTTTATCGGGGCAAATTACCATTTGTGCGAATGCTCACTTCCTTTGGGCTACCTTAGTGATGTCGCAATATTGTGAAACACTACGCGATTGCAAAAAAAACGCCCCAGTGACGCGCTTGCCCCCTCTTCTATGAACGCGATTCCAGTCTCGCAGCTTCTTTGGGACGATCATTAATCAAGCATCGGTATTTACAGTGTCTTCAGCTGGTTTCTGCTAATTTGTTGATAATGACTTATGATCTAATGTAATCAGGAAATGCGGAGCTTGTTGAGAGAAGAGTATCTATATGAGTACTTAAATTGCAGTGGGACCCTTGTATTTTCCCTCATTGTGTTGGCTCGATACAGGTAAAACTTCGTGGAACGAACTGTGCTTTTTTCAGGCTGACAGTGAAAGGAACGTTCCTAAGGAAAACGGTGACACAGATAAAGGAAAGAAAGCAAAGTCGCTCACAATGGGCCAGCTCGCGGAGCAGCAGAGGTCAGTTCGGTGGTCAGGTTCACTTAGTATTAGGGTGTCCGGAAAGTTTTGAGAAATTTCAACCAGCTCATTTAACACTTATCAACAACAATAAGAGATAGTAGTTCATAGTTATAATAAATATTGTCCATCCTATGTCCCTTACCTTTTGGGCGGGATTACCTTGCGTGGGAGCTAGAACTAAGCGAGTACTGAGAATGAGGGGCGTACGCAACATCTAAGCTAAACTTCCATGGAAGAGACCGATTGATCTCCTAGTAAGATAATTTGAAGCGCATTTTATCCACATAGGATAAGGTTCCTCATTCCCAATTTGCTGATAGAGGAGCCAGCAGAACGTATGAAGATGGAGTAAAAGGCGTAGGGCAGCGTGCGCGCTCGTACATTTTCAGCGTAATGGAGAATAATAACAACCTGCATTGTTATTGGTCTTCAAACATTTCTCTTTTTCACAACACTTGATATATGACTTTCTGTTATGGCATTCGCTTGCTACACTTCTCCAAGAACAGTGTAAAATTCTCAAAACTTTTCCGGACAACCTAATAGTCATAGGTAAATTAAATTCCATTAGTTATAAAAACAATGGCCATTGCAGTCAAAAGGCACGTTTTAATCATGGAACAGTCGCTGTAAGTGAGGTAGACTGCCATTGATTTGCTGTGTGAGGGGTTCTTCGTTTTCGAGGTTTTAGATTGCCAGCGTCATGCGCTAACCAGGAAAGGTCAACAGGTCAGCCCGGCCATTTCCAATGAGCTGCACACCATTGTACGCGTCTTGGGAAGGTGAACACAGAACTGTCTTCAAAATTTGCAGAACGATTCTCTGAACGGAGTTATGAAGGGTTTTATCCCCGCATGGTCGTTTCACGTGCTGTCGCGAGGAAACGTTGAAGCGTCTTTACATTTACGTATGGAATCGTTCTGAAACGTGGCAGCAGAGCGCAACGGATAGGGAGCGGGTTTCTTAGGCGGGACGTCGTAGGATCGGTTCTGGGGCAGGTTCCTTTTTTGCATTTGTCCAAGAACATAGCCGACAAAGCTTCTAACATCTCTCGCCGGCTCAGCGTGGGGCTGCATATCTACAAGGGAACCTGCAATCAGTTTTTTTCGAAAGTGTAGACCCATTGCGGCCTGAAAGAGTGCTTCTGCTTGTACCCCTCGTAACACGTGTCACAAGGGTTTTTGTAATGAAATATCATCATATTTCATGTTCAGCGGGGTCGAATTACCCTGGGGACAAGTTTTGTCGGGTGGGTCCGAATCTGAATTTTCGACCTCATTTCGGGGTAAAAGTGTGAGGGCATTTATTCCATGGGTTAATTAGCAGCAGCAGTGGAGCTCAACCTAACATCGATGTACAGGTCTCGAATGGATTTCCTCCCGATAGTGAAGGAAATCATGCAGACGGCACAAACAAGTAAGCCAGGTACTGTTGTTTGCAAAAAGACATGACTGAAGAGTTATTTCAGTTCGATGACCAGTCATCACCAGTATGCTAGTCATAGTATCGATGTTAGCTATCAGTTAGCCATGCTATCCATACCCCATTTTACGAAGTTGAGACAGAAGCTCAGATTTCGCTAAGGTGACGTCCGTAGGCGGTTAATTGACCCCGATAGCATGTATATGATTACTTAGTTGCCGCGAAGAGTACTGTGAAGTCGCGCTGCCGGTGCAACGTTGTTCGATGCCAGCGCTGCCCGTAAGTAACAAAACAGTGAAGAAAAAGCACTCAATAATCCGCTCAGAGAAGCGCTTCTGCAAATTCTGGAGGCATTCTTGCAGTTCATGCGCGTAAGCATGAGTACAAGCTGATGTGATTCATTGCAATTGGCCAGCTGAGCTGTTGACATTTCCGTGGTAAGAGCTTTATGTCGATCACTATTCTTCTGAATTTTTGTGTTCAGAGTCGATAGCGAAGTGAAGCTTTCCGAGACATCTAATGTTTCACTCGCAGTTCAACTTACGCAAGGTCTCATGTCTAATGATGTGGTGAAGCTGGATAGCGTTCTACGTGAAGTTAGAGTGGAGGATCATACAGAAGTATGACTTTTCAGTTTCTCGTGTAATGCTTGGGCCTGGTTCATATTTTTTGTGCGGCGTGTTGCTGCATGCAGTAGCGAAATTGATCGAAACGGGAAGTTTGGGTCGGAAGTTTGGTCAGTCTTGCAGGTTTGGGAAGGAATGCTACGTCTTAGGGTGAAAGGAGATATAGTATAGCGAGCTTTCCGACCAAAATCACTGAAGACGAGTCCGTGTGAGAGGAACGGCGGTCGAAGATTGCGCGACGGAGGAAAAATTAATGGGTTATTCGATCTGACAACTATGAGGGGACTGGGCGACCTGCGGCTGGAGACTCGTATGTTTCGACGATTGCGCCAAGCACGGGATGGGAGTGGAATCAGGCGCCTGTCGCTGCGAGTCGGTATGTTGCGGCCTGCGAGTTAGTACGTGTGATGTGCGGCGATTCCAAAAACGAGCCAGATCACCAAGTCTCTCAAATCACCGACTTTTCTCATTCGCATTCGCAAAGCATGGATGCGGTCTAAAGTTCTGCCCATAACCGTCAAGAAACCGACGAAAAGTATGCACGCAGTCTTATACCATTGGCCAAGATCACTAGTAAAAGCCTCCAGTCTCACGTTTTGTTAGTGGTCCTTTGTCGTCTAGGGATGACTGACTACATTTAGGCAACTCTGCTGGATCTCCAAGTATCGCATGTGGTCCCTTTACTGAAGGTGCTGTTTGAAAGACTCAGCAGTCGGTCTGCAACCAAGTAAGTACCGAGTGCACTTCATTTAAGGCGCCGGCGAGCTTAAGGAGGCTCAATTTCTGATCACGATGGTTCTTATTTTAGCATCAAACCGTGGATCTTGTGGATACAGTGCATACTGTCTCTTCATGCGTCTTACCTGAGCTCGGTAAGATGAAGGTTTTGATGACTTTTCTTTTTGTTTACTGGCTGGGCCCATAGGTAATGACTTTTTCTCATTGCAGGTGGGAGCCGATCGTTTTGTGTTTGTATATTATACAGCTGTGCAAACGAAACTATTGATTTTATTTGCCTTATTTTTTAGATACGAAATCTTGAAACTGAATTGAGTGGATTGTTGGAATGGATGCGACAGCGGATTGGACATCAACAAAAACTACTTGAACTACATGGTAGACTGAGTATTGTTGGTGAACAGGTGACTAACTTATATTTTGAGGTTTTGGAATTTGTTGCAATGAATCACTAACGGCAGCATTTGGATGCCTCATCGTAGGTGTAAAGTTCTGCAATGCAATGGCTGTATTGTAAAAAAAGGCAAAGCGACAATCAAGTTTAGCTCGCTACCAAACGAATAAAGTGTGGCGTACTGGTTAAAATACTGCTTAGATACGTGCAAAGAAGTTACTACTCGATATTATTGTTCAGTTCTAAATTCAAGGCAACATGAACAAGTTGTTTCAGATCGGACGCCGCATGAATCGCACGGTTGTTGTGGCACCGAAACCTCTCATAGTCTTCAATGACGGTTGGTACAATTTTCACTTTTCATGTTTTATTGCTCACCACGGATAACCGTTTGAAAATCGCTTTTCACTGGTAAAGTCCTTTGATTTCTCTGAAAGTGTTTGGCAAGAGCTTCGGGGCTGCTGGAAGTAGCGTTGAGACTAATCGTATGCTCCCTCCCTCCCTACCGCTGCAGTAGTCCTGGGATCTCGTTCTTTGAGGTTATCCATAAAAGAAGGACAAGACTTAACTTGGAAAATCGCTGCAAAAATACAAATGATTATCAGGTGATCTTGTAAGCATAAGACCTGATAATTTGGTACTCGGTCTAGGTCTAGAATGGTTGCGGGGGTTATAGTGGGGAAAGTGGCGAAAAAGAGAAGTGAAACGGTCAAAAATCTGCAAGAAGCCTTGTTGTACGCGATGAGTGAGCAGTTTAGACGAGTTTCTCGTTGGCATCGTGCC